CCTCTCCCTCTCCCCCCCTCTCCCTCTCCCTCTCCCTCTCCCTCTCCCTCTCTCTGCTACCATCTGGCAGCTCTGAGTATTTTATTTTTTCTATAGGTTCTGATAAGTGCATAAAGTCAAATATGTTGACCATTATGGTTTCATGTTGAATATAAACAGTTGGATTTCTGACTGGTCTGCATAGTGACACCCTGCCAGAAATAATCCTGTAGATCTAGCTTTTTAAAAAAAATATTTTTTTAGAGTTTTGGTTTTTTTTTTTAGATTTATTTATTTATTATGTATACAGTGTTCTGTCTGCACGTATCCCTGTAGGCCTGAAGAGGGCACCAGATCTCATTATAGATTGCTGTGAGCCACCATGTGGTTGCTGGGAATTGAACTCAGGACCTTTGGAAGAGCAGACGGTGCTCTTAACCGCTGAGCCATCTCTCCAGCCCCTTTAAAAAATATTTAAGAGCTCTCTTTTTAAATATTTATTTTTATTTTTGTGTCTATGTGTGTTTGTGTGTGTGTGTTCCCTCAGAGTACAGAAGAGGGCATTAGATCCCCTAGAAGTGAAGTATTACATAGTTGTGAGCTGCCTTTGGAATCTAAGAACTTTGTCCTCTGGAAGAGCTCTTAACTACTTTGGAACCATCTCCATTGCCTATCTTTTTTGGGTTTTATTTTTGTTTGTTTTGACAAAGTCTCCATATATAACCCTGATCTCTGCCTCTAGGTGAGCATCACCTCACCCAGCTTATCTCATTTTTGAGATAGGGTTTCATTCTGTAGCTTATAAGGGCTGGCCTGGAAGTCACCCTGCAACCCTGGCTTGCCTCTGAACCACCACTCACCAACTCTCACCCTGCCCTGCAGGTTTTGGAGTCTTAAAGCAGGAGCTAGCCAGGTGAGGTGGTGGTGCATGCCTTTAGACTCAGCACTGGGAGGCAGAAGCAAGCAGATCTCTATGAATTCAAGGCCAGTCTGGTCTACATAGCAAGTTCCAGTCTGACCACAGCAAATGAATGAGATCCTGTCTCAAAAAGCCAAAAAGAAGGGAGCTGAGGAGAAGGTTCAGTGGTTAAGAGCACTTGTTTTTCAGAGGATCAATTCAATTCCCAGCACCCACTTGGAGGTTCACAATCATCTGTAATTCCAGTATCTAGTATCTGAGACCTTCTGGTCTCCATGGGCACCAAGCGCGCGTGCCTCCCCCCCCCCCACACACATTGCACATATAAAAGCAAAATACATAAAATTAAGTGAATATAAATCTAATAAGATTTTTTTAAGCCAAAAAGGAATAGGCCAGGTGTGCTGGCACATGCCTTTAATCCCAGCACTCAGGAGGCAGAGGCAGGCTAATTACTGTGAGTTCAAAGCCAGCCTGGTCTACATGGTGAGTTCCAGGACAGCCAGGGCTACAGAGTGAGACCCTGTCTCAAAAAAAACAAAAAAGGGGGAACATGAGCTAAAGATACAAAAAGCAGTTTCACTCATGGCTTTAGATGCCAAACAAGTGTCCTAAGAGCCAGGGCAATCACTCAACTTTTCTATTTTGCCTTTCATTCAGTTTCATGCCAAGGGACTGAATGGGGCACCATTCAGATTCCTGGAGGAAGGACTGAGAACATTGGAAGGTCAGTTCAGTGGCCATTTCTTATGTGCCTGATTTCTGAATCCTGCCCTGGCTGGGCTCTGCTGGGTGGATGAAGGACTTCTGAGGATTAGTCAAGGCTCAGATAGAATGGAAGGCAGGTAGGGTGGGTTGCTTTGACAAATAAGGGGACTTGTGTGAGGCACTGTTGGAATGTGTCTCCTGACAAAGCAGCTCACATGGATGCATGCCCATTCATGTGTTGTGAGAAGACATACAAGCTTGCTTGACTTGATGGAGGATTCCAACATTGCTACTTCTGATACCAGCTTCTGGAAGTCCAAGACTTGGGCCTGTCAACTTCTAGCTAGCTTCCAGGCCTTTTCTTCAAGGCTCTGTGAGCACCTGGCAGCATCTTAGAGAAAGGCTTCGTTACTAAGAGCAAGTAGAGACCAAGAACTTAGGGAGTAAGTATTCTTTCTGGCCAAGAAAGTTGATTGCACACAATTGAAGAGCCAGAATAGTCTCCCCCTCCTGCCAGAACTCCAGGTCAGTGTCATATGTGTTCACATGCACTTTGATATCCATTTGTGCATGTACAGGTCTGGACTCCTTTTGTATTTTAGTACCTAAGTTCCTTGCCTTTCTCTTACTATCTGTATGCCCCACCCAGGGCCTTCTCTCCATTGAACTGAAGACAGGTGGATTGTCATCTGCCTCCTGCCTTCACAACTGAGTAGAAAAGCCTAGTGTGATTGTACATACCTGTAATTCTTGTACTTGGCAGAGGCAGAAAGATTGCCTCAAGTTTGAAGCCAGCCTGGATTGTGTAAGGAGTACCAGGCCAACCAAGGCTACAGAGTGAAGCCCTATGAATGAGACCCTATCTCAAAACTTGTAATACAAAACATCACAAATTGACTGATGAGTAGGTTTTGCCCTCTGGCTTAGAGTTGGTGGGGGTGGGGCAAATCCCCTTTATCCATAGATAAAAGAGGCAATAGGAATTGCTCCAAGGCTGTCTCAGAGTATAGGTCCCTACAGGTGCAAGATGCAAGGGAAAAGAGACAAAAAGAGTCTCTTCCGGCAGCAGGAAGTGGTAACTACCTATGGGGAAATGAGGCTAGTTCTTTCCTTTGGTGCTAAGTAGAAGGGGAACTGTAGCTGAACACTATTCCTCCCCCTCGGGGCCCAGAAGGAACACAGGCCTGCAGTTCTCTGGGGAACTTCCCATTAGCTATCAGGGCTCCCTTAGGCCTCAGTCAGGGCTGTGACTCCGGGAAGGAGGATGGCATCTGATGTTCAGGGAGGCTGGGGGAGTGAGGCCATCTAGGGGCAGTCTTGGGACTGGAGCAGCTATGGCGCCAATGTCCACTAGTATTGAGGGCCAGTGGGCACAGGGGTGTGGTCTGACTTTGGGGACCACAGATAGCTTTGTGCAGATGGTGAGGAACAGCAATAGGTGGCCCCAGGCATGATGGGGCTCTCTTGCTTTGGCTGCTTGATGCTGAATCTTAGGGCTCAAGGTGATCTATGTAGAGGAGCAGAGCAAGACAGCCTGCCTCAAGAGCCGTGTGTTGGGAAGGGGCGCCTTGTCCTTAAGAGGCCCACTCAAGCAGCAGGCAGCGCTTGGTCCTGGTCGCCCCGCCCCTCCGGGGGACCGTGCTGGGGGCGGGGCGAGACGGGGCAGGGCGGAGCTGGCGGACTGTGCTGGCCTTGGCGCCCCTGGTCCCTGTGCTCCGCGGTCTCGCTTTGCCGCCGCGTGGAAGCATCGGGACTCGAAGGCGCACTGAGCCCTCGACCATGGCGGCGCACGGGAAGCTGCGGCGGGAGCGGGGGCCGCAGGCTGAGTATGAGGCACAAGTCAAAGGTGAGAGGGCGCTTCAGGCCTGGTTTACCGCGTAGACCCCCGAGTGCCCGCTGCTGAACCTCAGATATCCCCGGAACGGGGTGGAGGAGGGAGCACAGGCCCTGCTTCTTGGAGCCTTTGGCCTCAACTGCCTGCCCATGCCCTTCCTCCCGCCTCTGTACTCAACTTGGCTCGCCTGCTGCTCACTCAGGCAGCAATGACTCTGGTAGCCTGAGGGAAGGGCAGACTGAGAGGGTGGCTTTCTAGCTGGATGTAATGGGCCGCCTTGACTTTGCTGGTGGCCTGACACCTCACTCTTAACACCACTAGAATCCATGAAGCCTTAGCACCTTCACCTCCCTTTGGCACTTAAATTGCTTGCGGATTAGGGTTGTTGGCCCTGGGTCAAGTTGAAAGACTGAATGTGGGTTAGAGAAATTCAGCTGGACTGACTTTACAGCCTTAGGATATTAGACCTCTGGATTCTGGCAAACAGGTCGATGCAAATCACATGCAAATAAGCTTTGTAAGTTCTTAGCTGACAGCTTCATTTCTTCAGGGTGTGGTAGGTAACTCTTGCACAGGAAAGGAGGCAGCATCTAACTGCCCCTCCCCCAGTTTCTTGTTGCCTCCTGATATCTTGACGCCCATTACCACTCTTTTTTTTAACCTGTTGTGGATACAAGCTCAGAGAAGCAGTGTCACATAGCACAACAGCTCCCAAGAAGAGGAATAAAATGACCATTGGAGTTTTCCAACCTGTAGGTGCAATTCCAATGTTCTTATTTGGTGCAAGCAACTTATACCAAAGTGTGCCTTAGTGATGTGTTGCTGCTATAGTGGTGAGCATAGCTGCCTTTGAAAGTTTGACCCAGTCCTCATCTTGGTGTCCAGAGCCAGCTTGAGGTGACTGCAGAGGGTGAGCCAGCAGGTGGAGACAAAGATCCTATCCTACTTCCTCAAAATGTTGAGAAGCAGCTGGGAGGTAGTGGTGCATGCCTTATAATCCCAGCACTCTGGGAGACAGAGGCAGGTGGATCTCTGAGTTCAAGGCTAGCCTGTTCTAAAGAGTGAGTTCCAGGACAGCCAGGGCTACAGAGAAACCCTGTATCAAAAAAAAAAAAAAAAACACAACACAAACAAAAAAACAACATTGTCATGAAGCCCAAGGACCTTGAAAAGTCTTCAATCACTTCAATCAGCAAACACACGTCAGTTAGTTCTCACCAAGAAACTGAAGTTTGGCACAAGACTGTCTTTAAGATAGCCCTTGCTCATTCAGAGTGTCTAGCTTTTGTGGCTTTTATTTCTCATGGCCCTCCCTCAAAGAAAGGAAAAAAGGTCTTCCGATTATGCTGGAACAGGAGCACTGTCTTCAGACTTTAAATTCTGAAAGGTCAGCATAGTCGCGGTTTGGAGGCCATCTATTCTACTCCACTGGTCAGCAGAAGTGAGAGTGAATGCCTGACTCACAGGAAGTGCTGGAGGGGCCTGGGTCCCAGCTTTGCAATGCAAATATGCAGGATTTCTCACTCGTTTTTGCCAGCAGTTCTTTTGTTTGTTTGTTTGGGTGGGCGGGACTGGAGCTTGGTTTGTAGCTCAGGCTAGTCTTGAACTCATTATTTTACTCAAGCTGGTCTGTAACTTGCAGCATCCTCTGCCTCAACCTTCCAGGGCTGGGATGGCAAGCCTGTGCCACCACACTCAGCTGCCAGATTTTTTTTTTTTTAACATGTTTTGCTCTAGACTCTGGGAATACTTTATTGTATAAAAGAGAAGCAGTCCTTCTTGGTGGTTCATAGGCCTGAGGAGAGAAAAATTGTACACAGTTGATTTCATGTATGATGATAACTACTGCAAAGGACAGCCAAGGTGCCAAGAGCACATGGGGGCTAGACAAGGGCCAGAGCTAGTTTGGTAGAGATCTCTTTGAGCTGAGATCTGAAAGCTCTGCCATGGCACAGCCTGGAGTCTTGGGGCAGCAGTTTCCTGCCTTTTGTGGACCTCAGATGCAATTGGCTTGCAATCTATAGCTCTGTGACACCGGCTGGTGTGCATGTTCAGACCGGAAGTGCTATTGCTACTGGTGAAGAACCCATACAATACTGTGGTCTGCTGATGCACTTAGCATTGTGCAGCTGTAATAGGTCCCTCCTTGGCAGCACATCCTTTTTGGAGGGCAGGTCAACCTACAAGGAAGGCCTTGCTGGGGACTCTTGAGACCCTGCTTGGAATGAACTTAAATTGCCATTCTTCAAAACCTTTAGTCTCATTTAATAGAGACTCCCCTAATTGAAGTCAGCAGCATTAACACTCATCCTAATGAGTGGCTGGCTGGCATACACCACTTCAACCACAGGAGGCTGGTGACAGCGACACTTGGTATTGTGGGCTTTGCTTTGGCTTCAGTGTTGGGGATTTGCGCGCGCGCGCACACACACACACATACACACACTCCCTTCTGCCTGACTTGTCCCCATGGTAGAAATTTAGCAATTCCAGTGACCAGGTTAAGAAGCACACCCCAAGAGAGTCCAGTGTGTAGGGTAGAAGGCTGATGAGTAGGTCATGCAGGCAGCTGGATCTGGAGCACCTGGACTCAGGAAAAGAAGTCTGAGAGCAGGCAGGGAACATACTGAGAAAGGAAATGAGAAGGGGACATGGGGAGGTCTGGGCAGGAGATACCTAAGGAGGCCTTTCATCTCATAGCCCTAGGAAAGTCACTGTCAAGACAAAAGTCCACCCATTTTGATCTCGTCACAGTGTATTTCTATTGAACAGCTATCTCTGGGGCTTGCCTTTCAGACTGGCTCCCAGTACCCACCATATTTTCCTTAGACAAGTGTAGTAGCTGCCCCTTGGGCTCTACACAGTAGCCAGAGGGACCCTGAAAATGAAACGAGTCCACAGGGCTCTACCCCCTGGCTTGCCTTTTCCTGGGCATTCAGCTGGAATCCTGGACCACAAGTTTTTGGTCATCTGCTCCCCTCCCCTCCTTCCAGATTCCTCCCCCTTGCTTTGTTTGTTTGTTTGTTTGTTTGTTTGTTTTTGAGACAGGGTTTCTCTGTTGTAACAGCTCTGGCTGTCCTAGAACTAGCTCTATAGACAAGGCTGGCCTCAAACTCATAAAGATCCCCCTGTCTCTGCCTCCCGAGTGCTGGGATTAGAGGTGTGTACCACCACTGCCTGGCTCCCCCTTGCTTTTTGTATACTTTTGTTTTTGTTTTTGTTTTTGTTTTTGAGACAGGGTTTCTCTGTGTAGCTTTGCGCCTTTCCTGGAACTCACTTGGTAGCCCAGGCTGGCCTCGAACTCACAGAGATCCGCCTGGCTCTGCCTCCCGAGTGCTGGGATTAAAGGCGTACGCCACCACCGCCCGGCATATACTTTTTTAAAAATATATTTTATTTTATTTATTTTATTTTATTTTATTTTATTTTATGTACATTTGTGGTCTTGCCATGGGTGTCGGAGTCCCCTGAAACTGGAGTTACAGACAGGTGTGAGCTGCCATGCAGTTGCTGGGAATTGAACTCGGGTCCTCTGGAAGAAGAGTTAGCACTCTTAACCCCTGAGCCATCTCTCCAGCCCTTGTATACTTTTTTTAAGGCAGTGTCTCCTGTAGCCCAGGCAAGCCTCAAAGATGTAGCCAAAGATGATCTTGAATTTTGGATATTCCTGCTTGTACTTTCTGAGTATTGGTATTACTGATGTGCACCACCACACTTGGCCTGTGTGTGCATCTTATAAGTACCAATCATTGCTCCTGGTCATTCTACCATGGCTCTCTTCCCAATCTACCATGGCTCTTTTCCCGTGCTATCTGTCCCCCACTATGGTCCCAACTCCAACGGAGCAGGCACTGTGTCTAGAATATGCCTGGAATGAAATAGATGTGAAGTCACCATTCCACTAAATGAAGAAATCAATTAGTGTTCTGCTCTAAGGATATGGCTGAAGACCTATCTGTGGACATCCTGCTTTCTAGATGCCAAGACAGTGTGTCTTTTTGTTTGATGTATTGATACGTGGGTTGTGGTGCTCATCTGGGTCTTTGGTCTGGGGATGTGGGGCATAATGTTGCTAGCAGCTTGCAAGACAGGCAGCTTTTGCTTGAGATATGGGTGAGGGAAGTATTGCTAAATCAAGCCAGAGATAAGATGTCAAAAGGCCTGTGGTGGTGTGGGGCCCTCAGCTATGACTCCCCTGTAAGATAGAGGGAAAAACTCTGGGGTGGGTAACTGCCAGTAGAAAACAACAAACAGAAAACTTAGTCCAGCTCCTCTGTCCCTTCACTTTATCAACCTTTACCAGAACACTATGGGACCAGTTTGACCTGGCCTGAAGTCCCTGAAAGCTTGGCAGAGTGCCACAGCAGTCCTGCCCCTGAGCAGCTTCTTGTCTCTGTTTAGAAGCCACAGCAGAGTTTTCTGCCTCAGGGCCCTTCCCAAGTGCACAAGGGCTGCTGAGCCTGGGTACCTTGCTTCAGGGCACCCTTCTTTCTTCTGCATTTAGTTCCAGATTTTAGCTCAGTCAGGTGCCAAGGAACCTTTGGTGTGGACAGGATGACTGTCTGTCTGTCTGTCTGTCTTTGCCTCCCTTACCTCTTACTGGCCTGGTTGGTTCACACCGTGCATATCGGCCAGGCCTGAACCGAGGTCCCCTTACAGAGATGCGCTCACAGTTGAGTGAGCAGCTCCGTTGCCTGGAGCTTCAGGGAGAGCTGCGGCGAGATTTGCTGCAGGAGCTAGCTGAGTTCATGCGGCGCCGGGCAGAGGTGGAGCTGGAGTACTCTCGGGGCCTGGACAAGTTGGCTGAACGCTTTGCCAGCCGCAGTGGTCGCCTGGGGGGCAGCAGCCGGGAGCAGCAAAGCTTCCGGTAGGTACCACACTGGCAGCAGTGCCTTGCAGGGCCTAAGACCTAGGCTCCCTGGTCTGAGTATTCCTCTGCTACAGGAAGGAGCCGACTCTCCTGTCACCCTTGCACTGCTGGTCTGTGTTGCTGGAGCACACACGGCAGCAGAGTCGAGAAAGTGCCGCCCTCAGCGAGGTGCTGGCTGGGCCCCTGGCTCAGCGCCTGAGTCATATTGCTGAGGATGTGGGACGCATAGTCAAAAAGGTAGGGTAACACAAGTTGTGGAGGGCCTCAGGATGTAACAAAGCCCATGGGGATCTATCTGGAGGTACTGTGGTTAAGAGGCATGGGGGGCCAGGTGGAAGTTGCAGCTCAAGGTTGGCTTGTACCAATCTCAGGTGGGATGGGTTGTCACAGGATGGTGGGAGGCAATGCTATGGTCACACATACCCCTTCATCTCTAGAGTAAGGACCTGGTGCAGCAGCTTCAGGATGAGCTCCTGGAGATGGTCTCAGAACTCCAGACAGTAAGCAGGACCCACTGTGTGCTGATCAGGGGGAAGCAGGAACAGTCCCATGCCATTGCATCTCCCAGTGAGGCTCAAGAGAATGGGTGCTCAGGGATGATGACCTGAGCCCTGCGGGGGGGGGGGGGGGGGGGGGGGGGGGGGGGGGGGGGGGGCGGCAACGGACACAGCAGGCCTCTATGCTCTGGGGACAGAGTGGTTAGATGACAACATACTTAGGTGAAATGGCCCAACCCTCAGATCTGAATCCCAGGGGCGCTAAGGGGTACTGTTCCTGGTCATGACCTTCAGCAGGGCTTCCTTTCCTGGGCTTCCCTGCAGACCAAGAAGACGTATCATGTGTACCACTTGGAGAGCATGAATGCTGAGAGCAAACTCCGGGAAGCTGAGCGGCAGGAGGAGAAGCGATCAGGCCGGAATGCCCTGTCCACCAGCACTGCTGCCTCTGCCAGCACCACGACTACTGTCACCACCACTGAGACAGGGCCCCTACGAAAGAGCTCTCTCAAGAAAGGAGGGCGGCTAGTGGAGAAGGTGGGCCTGGAAAGCTATGGGCCCCCTCTCTGTCCAGCTCGGACGGCTCTGGCCTTTGTCCAGGGGGCCTTTCTTTCTATAAGCTCTTGGCTGTCCCTGGGGCAAAAGTGTGGGGGAAGAACCATAGGCCTCTAGCAAGATTTTTTTTCTTCCTGGTCAGACCTGATAGCTCTGAGATGTAGAAAGACAATGCTACAGAGACTTCAACAGACCTGAAAGATAGGGAAAGAAAGACACAGTGAAAGATTGATTCTATCACATTATGCTCCAAGCATGTTGTCCCACAGCCCTGCTAGAGCACAGAGCTGTAGTACTCTAAGCCTGGATGACTTTTTCCTAGCTAGCTTTTAGGAGTTTTTAGGAACACAAGAACTCGGGATGAGTAAGACTGGGTGCCATTCCGGGAGAAGCATTCAAGGGGACCCCATGGAAAGAATGGAGAGGCTCCAAGCTAAGTGGGGCTTAGAGCAATGGCTTTTGTTTTGTGCCACCCCCATGTGGAGCCTAAGTGGCTTTCTCATACTTTTTCCTAGTTCATACCTCTGTCACAGGGTCTGAATATGAATGCCTTTTATTTAGCCATCTGTTTCTATGTGTCCTACTTCTACTTCTTTGGAGAATGACGGTGAGGCATGTTGGGGACTCAAACCAAGGTAAGGGCGGGGGTGAGGGGATCAGCCCTTGCCAAGAGATCAAAAGTAGCCAGTTAAGACCTAGGGAGTCAAGACAGGTTCTGGGAGTTGTGTAGGAGACTCTTCACAGTAGCACTGAGCACTGAGGGTGCACCAAGGGTTGGTGTGTGGCAGCATAAAGAAGTGCGTGTCAAGTTAAGTATGAGGGACTGTGGCACATTGGGCATGCTTGTTGGCAGAAGGAATGTGAAAAAGTAGAGATAAGAGTGGGCTCCATATGGGTGACCCTGGTGTGCCTTGGTGTCTTGAGCAGCGTCAGGCCAAGTTCTTGGAGCACAAACTTAACTGCACTAAGGCCCGAAACGAGTACCTGCTCAGCCTGGCCAGTGTCAATGCCGCTGTCAGCAACTACTACTTGCATGATATCTTGGACCTCATGGATGTAAGTCCTGTGTGGGCAGGCAAGTGGACCTTGGTATTGGAGCTTAAATGCTTGGAGCCGTTGGCTCTGGCTTCAGGCCCACAACAGTGTCTGTTTGCTTCTTCCCAGTGCTGTGACACAGGTTTCCACTTGGCCTTGGGGCAGGCCCTCCGGAGCTACACAGCTGCTGAGAACCGCACCCAAGCCTCCCAGATGCAGGGATTGGGCAGCCTGGAAGAGGCCCTGGAGGCCCTAGATCCTCCAGGGGACAAGGCCAAGGTGGTTGAGGTTCATGCCAGGGCCTTCTGTCCCGATCCACACTTTGACTACCAGCCCCATGAAGGTGATGAGGTGAGGGTTAGTTTATTCCACCCCCTACTCCTGCTATCCTTAAAGCCCAAGCATGATTTCGAAGGGCTTCACATTCTCTGGACTTAATGCTAATGTGGGTCAGTCACATAATTTACACTTTGCTAAAACAAAACAAACAAGAAATTCTAGGATGCTGAAGGTCCTTATTTCTCAGCTCTTTAATGCATGGCCTCTGGCCCATTAGAACAGTTTGCTGTGGCAGTTCACTTAGGGGGCTGCCATCAAACACAGTGCAACCACAGCAGTCCAGATGGCTGTCCATACACTATTCGTTGAAAACTCTTTGTAGCCATATATGGTAGTGCATGTCAGTCATCCTAGCACTGGGGAAATGAAGGCAAAAGGATTACCCTAAGTTTAAGGCTAGCCTGGACTACATAATGAAACCCACAGCTTGGGCTTCAGTGTAAAAACCTGTCAACAAACAGACAAACTGACACCACCACCAACAAATTTCATAATAAACACTTGGGAGGAAATATAGCATGCAGAATAATTTCTTCTTTCCTTCCTTTGGATGTTTTTGTTTTGTTTTGTTTTTTTGATTTTTCAAGACAGGGTTGCTTTGTTTTGTTTTGTTTTGTTTTGTTTTTTTTCAAGACAAGGTTTCTCTGTGTAGCTTTGCACCTTTCCTGGATCTCGCTCTGTAGACCAGACTGGCCTCAAACTCACAAAGATCCTCCTGGCTCTGCCTCCCAAGTGCTGGGATTAAAGGTGTGCACCACCACCACC